CCAATCAACTTGATGAGGCTTATCACCCAAAACCTTGTCAAACGATCCAACTCAGCACTTCAACTCCAATCACAACTACTCAGGTGTGATTTCACATCACCATTGGAGTGACTCCCAAAAGAAAAATCCATTGGATCTACACAAATCAAACAAAGACAGCGGCAAGATGTCATCGGTGCATTACAGAGGTCGGCCAGTGTCAGGGGGATGGTGGGGAGGGCAGACGTTGACGAAGGCGATGCATAATGCATGGACAGAAAGCGCGTACAGGAGGGCCAGCTGAGGTCCCATTCAGAGAGGGACAGATTGACCCTGCGAAACCCATCACATGCTCAATCGTCAGCATCCCCCACCCCCCCACTCGCCACGCAACCCCGGTGCTCTTGAGACTGCAAGCAGGATGCACTCTTCCGTGACCCTGGCACATTTGGCACATATATGTGGAAGTGAGTCAGATGTGTTGCAATATTAATAGGACACTTCCAGGATAGGTGTGTGATAATGCACATTTATGAGTTCGGCCCGATATATAATGTAATGGGGATGATCATTAACTGAGGACGGCGTTTAACAGACAGCTTTCAACCATCCCTCATTTTTGTCGGAAACAATGTCAGTGGGCTTTAGAACGGCATTTTGGGGGGGAAAGTGTTTGTGTTTGTCCTTTCAGATTTGATTGGCAGGAGCTGGCAGGCTGCCTGCACGCTGGTGTTCTATTGTTTCAGAACAACAAAACAATAGAAACAAAGTGCCGCAGGGAATAAGCTATGGGCAGGCGCTAAGTGGCCAGCGGGGGTTTGGAAAAGAGATGGCCACGCGGAATCTCCGTGTACAAACACACAGACAATTAGTCCGCTTGTTGGCTTTTTGAACAGGTGCACGAAATGAAATCCACAGTGCAAAAGCCAGTGTGGGATTGTTGTTCAAGTGCGGCTCTTGAAGTGAAGCTGCTATGTTGGCCAGAATGCTGATGTTATTGCTTGACGCAAGATTAGATTATCTGCAACAAAACACAGATAAAGGAACGGTCAGCCGCTAAACGAGACAGCAGCTTCATGAAACCAGTGAATTTAGATCCCTTGGGGTCTGATTTATTTTTATTCAAGGGACAAAGAGAGGGAGATGATTCACCCGGTAGATTTATGTATTATCGACTGAAATTGATCTTTTTTTTGTAAGGCAAGGGATTTATTTGAGTGTTGTGGGCAATTCCGATAAATGAAACTTAAATGCAAAAGTCGTATTGATGTGGAGGTGTGGTTCTATCCGCCAAGCCCATTCCTGTGAAGCACTACATATTCATATTTATCTGCGTTTTATTGATGAAAACATCCCCTGGCATCACAAAATGAGGTTGGTGGCAGCAGGGAGAATTACCTGAACATTAGTCTCATCCATAAAATTAAATGGATGAGCTCAATCGATGCTCTAGAGGGAAACTGATTTGGGTAATAATACTGCATAATGTCATAAGCCAGATTGAAGACAGTGACAGCTTTCTTTCCAGTGGTGCCCTTGAGATACGAATGACATAATTTAAGAGTTGTTTTAATTTATGCTCTCATTTGGATGACTTCTTTTTTTGCTTTGACTTTCAAGCTAAGGTTTCATATTTTCCAGCGCTGTACGGCGGCAGTCAACTCATCTCAACTCCATTTACAAGATTAGCACTTTACCAAATACTGAATAATTATTCAAACAAGATGCTTCGAGCTGTTTAATGCCTAAACCAGTTGAAGCTGACTGTTGAACTAAACATGAAACAAAAAGAATTACACCTAGGGTATTTAAAACAACCACAGCTTAGCCTTTTTTTCCTGCTAGCTTAATGCTAACAGAAAGTATCAACTGCATGTTGAGGTGTTTTCACCCTTTAAAATGGAAGTCAAGTCAAAAACTTTTGTTGCAAATATCTTCTGCGTGCCCCCACAAGTCTAAACATGGTATTCTGATTAATATTGTGTTGGTGGGATAAGAATTAAGCACATTAATTCACCTGTTTTTCAGAATCTGCCCTTTGTTGTTAACTAGAATTGACATCAAAGTGCCTTCCTGCTCACGTTGAGAAGGTCACGTGGCCAAACCCAGAAAAACAGGTGAGCTGTGACGTCCGCAATTCCAGAACAATCAGAATCAGAATCATCTTTATTGGTCAAGTATGTAGAACACATAAGGAATTTGTCTCCGGTAGTATCGGCTACACAAGTCTCATCATAAACAAGGACATGACAAATAAGTATGGCCGCTTTGACATCACAAATAAACTCATATCTCAAAGCACCACAATTTGACATGTGAAAGATGACACTACTCTTCACATCTTGGAGCTGCTCATCAGTTCTTCCACCTTGTCTAAGCTTCCATTCACCCTGAAGAAAAAAAAATAAAAGGCCAAAACTTGACTGTGCCTGTCGTGTTTTTGTGCGGATGCACAGTGCATACTTTGCGACTCCAAAAGTGAGGGACTTGTCAGTAGCTATTCACTGATGAATACATCAGGAGGGGGGTCATATGGAGTCACACACATCTTATTTATCAGCGTCTCCTCGGACAAAAGTCACCCTCACTTACTTGTTTAGATGCATCCACATCCTCCTGTGCCCCAAACGCCTTCCCTACCTCCTCATTTTCAACCACACATGACTGACAGCTCCACTAATGTAGTCAGAGCTGGTTCCAGCATGAGGAAGGAGAGAGCGAGATAAGGTCAGGAGCAAAGGCTCACAGGCTCAGCAGCAAATTTCCTCCAAGATTGACTGCACAATACACAAAAAATGAGGCCCGAGGAGAGGCGATGTGAAGTTTGCTGTCGATGGATTAAGAAAAAAATAAAATAAAATTTGCAGGGGCTCATTAAAAATGCGGCACACTTACGAATCTCAATATCTTGATGTTTGTGTTATTAAAGAGGGGCAGCCTGGTGGTCCAGTGGTTAGCGCGTCGACTTCACAGTCCAGAGATCATGGGTTCGATCCCGGCCTTCCTGTGTGGAGTTTGCATGTTCTCCCCGGGCCTGCGTGGGTTTTCTCCGGGTACTCCGGTTTCCTTCCACATTCCAAAAACATGCATGGTTCAGGGTGTCCCCCGCCTACTGCCCGAAGACAGCTGGAATAGGCTCCAGCACCCCCCGCGACCCTTGATAGGATAAAGCGGTTCAGAAAATGGATGTATGGATGGATGTATTCAAGGCTGATGAGTCATTAAATGAGTAAATCCTTTTCAAGTATCTGCAGAGTGAAACCAATTTCACTGATGGCCAACAGCCAATAATAACTAACTCATTTAGTTTGAACCGAAAAATTGACATTTGTTTTCCTGAATGTCCATGTTAGTGGCAATAGGGTGTAACAAGACCATCTGGGAATTTGCTCGGTGTCACCCGTTGATTTTGAGGCGACATTCTAAGAAGATGACAGTCTTTTGATTGTCAGAAGCCAACCAGGGATCATCATATTTGCACTAAATGCCACACGGTACAACCGTTTCCTCCCCCAGACTGGTAAATTGCGCGAAAGGTAACATTGTGCGCCATGCGGCATGCATGCACAATGACAGATGTTGGATTAGGGTGTGTAACAACTCATCAAGCTCATTTGAATAATTTTGAATAAACAGCTCATTCACACTCTTGACATTGCCCTCTTCGACAGCGGCCTCTAATTGGAGCTCCCAGCCTCTCATCTCATGCTCCTCATCTTCCTCTTCCCGCAAATGATCAACACGAGTGAAAGCGTCAGAGAAAACAGTGAGACAATGGATATGGGAGAAAAAAAATCTCCACTTTGGCCTTTGTATGACGTATTAACAGAGGATGCCACGCGGGCAATGCAAAAACCTCCATTCCCTCCAAATGATCTCAAGAGCCTTTATAATATCATGTTGCTTAACACTTGGTAAATAAGGTTCCCGACAACAGTTTATTTCTTAGCTGGCAGTGTTACAGAAAACTACCAAAAGGGACTTATGTATAATTAGGAAATAAAATGTTCAAAGGTACGATAAAATTATTGCCAAATTTTTGTCAAGAAACAGGTCCTGTACATTGAGCTGATTTAATGTTTAATACGATAATCTAAAAAAAACATATTTAAACTATCTGTGGGAAAATAGCATTTGTTGCCTGTCCCTGCTTCCAAAATGGAGACTTTACCACGGAATGTGATCATTTAAACATTGAGAGTGTATTTTTTTTTTACATATTTGTACAATTCCTCATCCCAACTACATGTCACCACGAAATGTGATCATTTAAATGTTGAGAAATGTATTTTTTTTCTACATATTTGTACAATTCCTCATCCCAACTACATGTACAGTGTAGTGTATTGTCTTATTTTTATTTATCAGCAAATTTTGTTTAAATTTGCCCTGAAGTCATGTCGCTGAGCTAACACACGATTTACCCCTTCGTAAATGTTGGCTATTCCCACAAGTCACACGGTATTGTGATATTTCAATTATGACTTGGGACAGGGAATAAAATCATGGCACAGTCCTGTTCCTAAATGTATTTATTTATTTTTAATAGCATTTGTTTATTTTTAAAAATCATATTGTGGTTCAATCATTGAAATGTGCACGAATGCGCATTAAACGTGGTTATATTTCATGTATTTAAAACGATGCTAAAAACTCTTGCAAGTCACTCTTGTTATATTTCATTCTGTGACTGAAATGAGGAGTTCCAGTAAACAATGACAAAACAGTAAAGTTGCTTGAGATGGGCCACTAATCTTGAGTAGTTCCTCGTGTGTATTAACAGGTTCAGATTTGAAAAAGAAGGAAATGAACATTTACGGTATTTTGAGAGTAACAAGTAAATGCCGCTCATTTGCCCCGAAGCAATTAGCTAAAATCTTTGTTGAGAGATCGGATGTGGTTCAAAGAAGAAAAATGACATCATACAGATGTGGTTCTTAAATTTGGAAAATTTGGAATGGAAAAAAAAGAAAAAGCTGTAGCGGCCCCATGCTGCTCCTCAAGAGCGCAAAACTGCATACCTGAGCATCCACGAGGAGGTGCCTCATCAAGGTCATTGACTTCTGCAGCGTCTCCTTCTCGGGGGGACGATATACGTTATCATCCTGCTCAAGTGACTTGGGTCCTGTCACGATGAAACTTGCGATCTGATCGTTCAAGCTGTTCAGGGACTGCACCGCTAGAAAGAGACCGAGACACAAGTTAAAAAACAAAACAAAACAAAAAACAGTTCTTGCATCAAAAACAGTAAATGGAGACAGGACATTCTGGATATTTTTTATTCTTATTTTTGTTCTTCCATATTTGAAGGAACACTTTATGGGAAGCCCTTTTCTACTCTAGCATGAAGGCGCCCCTTGTACACAAATATGGCCACGGAGGCATGCTTTGCTACTCCATAGAATGGTTGTCTCCCAACCCAGAGGTTGGGGAGGTTCAATCCTTGAACAAGATACTGAACCTCCAGTTGCGCCTGATGCTGCGTCATCAGTAAGAAAATGAGAAAACAGTGTAAAGCACTTTGAGTACCAAATGTAGAAAAGCGCTACATAAGTGACAGCCCATTTGCCATTTGCCGTGTTCTTCCTGGCCAGGAACAACATAGCCGTAGAAGACCAGATGGAAGAACAAGGTTTCCTCTTGTCACCAACTCCCTTGGCTATCAACACCGTCTCTCATCCAGTATGTTCCTGAGAGCCATCCTGTTTTTGCCCCGATGTGTCCTTTCGGGTTTCCTTCCTAGCTTGCCTCCCACAGTGAAAAGTAACCTGCTCGACTGCATTTCCTCCTTCCAGCGCACACACTTCCTCGGCCCTCTTCCACTTACCATTAAGCCCTCTTTAGTCTCTGAGAGGTCACAGAAAATATTCCAGAGGTCACCCACGCAGTGGCAGGGGACAAAAGTAATTTCCATAACTATGCGGGGTTTTTTTCCCCCGATCACTTTCATTTTAGAAGCCGCTTTTTTTAACCCCTAATGCCTCATTATCCATGTTTCCAGCGTTGAAACCTTTAAATTCACAAAATCGTCACATATAAGACACTTCAAGCGTGTCGAGTCTTCAGCTGGAAGGACAACTGTTAAATCACTTCTAAATAAAGAAATACAACTCGCTAAATCTGCAGAGTGGGATGCAATTTGGTGTGGGATTTGAGCGGGGTCTGCAACTATAAAGCATTTTCCACTCCACACAAAATCCCACGCTTAAAAAAAAAAAACAAACAAACAAAAAAAGCAAGACAGCGTGGATATATGCGTTACATAACCAGCATTCTTCCATCGTCGTTGACATTTCCAAGCAAACAAGCTTTGGCGGCAGAGATAAGAAGGGAATGAGGGGGCTGGAGAGTGCTGCGTCCCCTCGAGGTGAGAGTGGAGCAGACATCAATGTGTGAGTGGGCTGCTTGTCATGCCAGTGAGCGCCAAACATTGAGTGAGGAGTCTTGTCTTACATATTGAATGGCGGGTTAAAAGGTAAAAAGTCCCAAAAATACAAAATAGGAGGATACATCAGTTCCTTATACTTACTGCCCTCTAGTGGTCTTATAATGCCCACACAGGCCATTGTGATGGGAGAATGCATGTACCGGTAGCTCGTTTACCACTCATCTTCAACATATGTGCTGCCATAAACTTTCTCCTAAATTGAACTGAAGGCTACAATCCTGACAAGAAGTTCGGGATATTGTGGCAGCGGCTGAAATTTCACGATGAAAATAAAATGCACTAGAACATGAACTTCAATTGACCTTCTCGAGACTTTTGGGCTGGGGATCAACTGTATACTGCACGTCTGTAGTCATACTCATATAAATGCTCCGATACCATGACACCGTGACCACCTACCAGCCTGCCATACAACATTATGCCGTCGCTGTGCTTGCAGTTTGCAGCTTGCCAAAAAAACAGTTCCTCAAAAAGAGTCAGTGTGTGCTGTTTAGAGGCTCTTGCTGGAAGTTTATTGTAAAACCAACTCAAAATAAATAAGATTACACGTTGCATCTTGAACAAAACACATATCTCCGGTTTACAAAAATCCATTAGCTTAATGCAAGAACAAATTCTGAAAGGCCGAGAAAAAAAAAAAAAGCATTGACTATGCTGTGTAAAATGTTAAATGAATATTGGAACACAAATGGTGCAGCAACATACAGAAAGATGATCTGAGAAAGAGAGAGAGAAGCGTTTTACATCCTGAGAGTCAAATTGGATAAAACACTCACAGGCATATAGATAATTACCAGGCTTCTGAAAAGCTTGCTGATGAGCCGATCATTTGAATCGGCTGTGCTGAAGCAGGGAAACGTCTAAAACATGCAGGATACTGCATGGCCCTCATCAAAATATTTCCTTGAGAAAGTATGAAAATGTTGAAAAAATATTTCAGAATGTTGTGTTTGACTTTAGTTGAGAGAGTTTACGTTCATTGTCTCACCCCTTTGCTGCCTGCCGTCTTCTCCTTTTCTGAATTGTCAAAATGCCTTGCATGTCCTCCTATTGGGCAGACGATGCAGAGAAAAATGAAGAGAAGCCGCGGCGGCGCACTGCCTCTTGGGCCTTTATCTTCACAAGGGAAGACAGTGGCTGCCAGTAGAAATAAAGATCACTTCAGATGAATAATGCTGGGAAGGAATGCCCCCCTGTAAGCCTAATGGGATACGATGCAGTACCCTCGGATGGAGTCTCGGGAAAAGGGGGCTCATTTCATGGCAAATTGTACATAGCCAAAGACACAAATCCATAGGGAAAAAGGATTTACATAGAAAGTGATAAGACAAAAGTCTAGTCATGTCAACAACTGCATTTGCTGTTCTTCGCTGGACAGTATCAAGGTAGTGTTCATATCCGCGCTTTGATTAGTTCCCTAAATAAATGTCATCGGGCCACTCTTTGAGATTGTTTTCATCTTTTTCCACAGTCTATTCGAGGTTGGAAGGGTCGAAATGTGAACATATGCAAGGTGACCGTTTGATCTGTAAACAAATGGTTTCGTTTTAAAAAAAAATAAGAAAGAAAATTGATAAAGAAATCATTTCAAATCCTGAATGCGGCGAGACGATCATAAGCAATTGGCAATGCGATGCAACACTGCCCCCTTTTGGCCAGATCGAGCTCAACAGCTTGTTGCTAATTTTGAACCACGGCACTCTCACTCTATTTAATCAAACCGTAAAAATAAATGCACATCAGTCACATAATTTGGGTGAGGACCATTCCCAGTCTTTAACCTCATAAACGATGGAACGCTCCAAATACAAGTCTGCCAGTAGACGTGAAAACAAGAATGTTATGCTTTAATCCAGAGTCATTCGTCTCACGAGGGACTATTCAGTGACCTGCAAGACAAAATGCAACGTATTTTGCAATCTTACCACCTGACGAATGCTCAGATGAAATCTTTGGGGAGCTCTAAGCATCAACGTGCAGTATTCATGAACATACTGAACGTCACGCATTTCGATAAAAGCGCTGAAAAGGATCCTTGAGATAAATGAACACACAGGGGGACTTTGAAGGTTGTACTTTGAATGACATGCGTGAGGTGCGGTGTTGCAGCCTTTAATACCTCTCCTTTTCATCATAAGAAAGGCTACAAAGAGCATTTCGTTCCATGAACTTCTAAATTCTTTTTTGACTTATAGTCAACTAGTTAACTTATAATTTGAAACATTTTAGAGTCGCTTTGCACTTTGTTGTTGTTTATATAATGCTCGATGACATCACAAGATGGCACTGTAGCCCCGTCTAGTAGGAAAATAGTAGTAGTAGTAATTGGTGTCAAGGAAATACTGTGATGCCTTGATTTGAGTTGAGTTCAGTCAGTGACCACTGTCGTAACTCAAACCCCTCATTGCACAAATCCTCTTTCACAATTGAAATGAACAGAAATGCAAAACAATTCATTGTTCTGCTTGTGTGTGTGTGTGTGTGTGTGTGTGTGTGTGTGTGTGTGTGTGTGTGTGTGTGTGTGTCTTGTCCACGAGGGGGAAGTGTAATACAGACATAAAAATTACACGCAGGAGAATTTCAAAACTATGCCACTCGGTCGGCCGCAGTAATATTGGTCATTTGTGCCATAGAATAAACCAAATGTCCCTGTCAGTAATGTTATTTTGTCTGTTTATGTGTGCTGCTGCATCATTTGTCTTCAATCATCCGTTGCCGTTCTCCTCTCACTCCGATGGGTGAGAGGAGAGCCTCTCTTTGCCTTCGAGTGCGGGGACGGATCCTAACTGTTGTTTGTGCTGATGGACCAAACAGCAGCTTTGAGTAGCCGCTCAGCGGCTGCACTCTTGCGGCAGTCTACTAAAATAGGACCCCTATCGTCAACGTCATGGTCTACAAATAGTCTGGATCTCAATCCGAAGTTGAAGAAAATGTTCAGTGACATGATTCCAACTTTTAAAGCTGATCTGGCAAAAGCTACCAGAGAAAGTTGGAGTCAGATTGATGAAGACTGCCATTTTTTATAAAATAGCAGAAATGGTGCAACAAAAGGTCGGCCCGATGGTCCAGTGGTTAGCGCATCGACCTCACGGTGCAGAGGTGCCGGGTTCAATTCCAGCTCTGGACTCCCTGTGTGGAGGTTGCATGTTCTACCTGGGCCTGTGTGGGTTTTCTCCGGGTACTCTGGTTTCCTCCCACATTCCCAAAACATGCATGGCAGGCTGATTGAACACTCCAAATTGTCCCGAGGTGTGAGCGTGAGCGTGGATGGTTGTTTGTCTCTGTGTGCCCTGCGATTGGCTGGGAACCGGTTCAGGGTTTCCCTACTGCCCAAAGAAAGCTGGGATAGTCTTCAGCACCCCTCGCGACCCTTGTGAGGATAAAGCGGATTGGAAAATGGATGCATGCACGGATGTCAGATTGATGTGATAGGCCATAGTTTTATCATAGCTCTGAAGTGGCCCAAACTGAGCTAATAATGACCTATGGCCTTAGTATGTTTGTCTGGTTTGCTAGTATGTTAGATTTATTGGCACGCTGGACATGGAGGTTCAAGGAGGAACCCCAGGTTGACAACCATTAGATCAACATCAGATCAATCAGATCAACATGACCTCAGCTATGGGAAACTGAACTGCAACCAGGCAAAAGTAAGTCACAAAAGGAGTTTGGAATATTCACACAGCGATTCTCCTATCCCATTAAACGTAATAATAAATACAAAATGTCAT